CGGAACAAAGAGAATATTTGGCGAATTTTATCAAGGGGAAAGACGTTATTGTCCTTCTTCCTACGGGATTTTAAGCATTGCATACGTCACAACCAAATAACAGCGATTGGTTAAATATAAAAAAGTACCCGCCTGCCATCGAGCGAACGAATTCCAACGCTCCGAGGTCAGACGGATTCTACGACGTGGAACCGGCTGATGAATCAGGCTAGTAACGGTACATGTATTCGTCCCAAACAATTTCGGTACGGGACGTTTGGAGTGAATTTGCGCAATTTGTGTGTGTGTTTACATTCCGCCACTACATATGCAGCTACACGGAAGACTCGCCGCTTTAATATTCACGAAAGAAAAGTTTTGTTTACAGTTTACAAGGAATTTATTTTTTTATAATATTTCATGCATTTGTTGCTTATTTGAGAATACTGTACTTATTGGTATTACCGAGCTGCACTTTGCATCTATTTTATTTTCCTGTTTGTATAATGTTGAAACAAAGTGTTGGTTTAATAAACACACGAATGGTTTTGCATTTTGTACCAAACATGATCCGTATCGAAAATCAGATTCTAAAACTAGTATCGAAACTAGATAGTCATTTGAGCAGGTACTGATGTTAAAAAAGTCACATTTACAGGACAGAAATAAACCTGAATAGCTTTAGAATAATCTTGAGACTAGTTTACGCACATGGATCGCTATGGAAACCACCTGGACCACTGAGGGATTACACAGATATAAGAAAGTACTACGATGTAATGTTGAAAGTACTACGATTTGATGTTGAAAGTACTATGATTTGAATGTTGAAAGTACTACGATTTAATGTTGAAATTACTACAATTTATGTTGAAAGTACTACGATTTGATGTTGAAAGTACTACGATTTGATGTTGAAAGTACTACAATTTAATGTTGAAATTACTACAATTTAATGTTGAAAGTACTACGATTTAATGTTGAAATTACTACGATTTAATGTTGAAAATACTACGATTTAATGTTGAAAGTACTACGATTTAATGTTGAAATTACTACGATTTAATGTTGAAATTACTACAATTTAATGTTGAAAGTACTACGATTTAATGTTGAAATTACTACGATTTAATGTTGAAATTACTACGATTTGATGTTGAAAGTACTACAATTTAATGTTGAAAGTACTACGATTTGATGTTGAAAGTACTACGATTTGATGTTGAAATTACTACGATTTAATGTTGAAATTACTACGATTTAATGTTGAAAATACTACAATTTAATGTTGAAAGTATTACGATATAATGTTGAAATTACTACGATATAATGTTGAAATTACTACAATTTAATGTTGAAAGTACTACGATTTAATGTTGAAATTACTACGATATAATGTTGAAAGTACTACGATTTAATGTTCAAATTACTATGATTTAATATTGAAATTACTACGATTTAATGTTGAAAGTACTACGATTTAATGTTGAAATTACTACGATTTAATGTTGAAATTACTACGATTTAATGTTGAAAGTACTACGATTTGATGTTGAAAATCACATTCTATTATCTAAATAAAGACTGTTTTTATTATTATTGTGGTATCGGAATCAGTATTGAGTACAGAGGCTTTTTCTTAGTATCAGAATTGAGTTTTAGTATCATGACAACACTAGTAGTTGCAGTAGCAGGGAGTAGTAGTACTAGCAGAACTAATACTACTACTAACTACTACTATTAATACTAAATAGCAGTGTACAATGGAGTCTGGGTGGTGAGTGCAGTAGCTCGGATCAAACCAAAAACTATCGCATTTGTGGGTGAGGACTGGGGCTGTTTATCATTAAGAATTTGCCGATACGATACATACCTCGATACATCGGCCACGATACGATACATATCTTGATACAGTGCACTTTCGATTCAGTACGACATTTTTCAAATCGATTCGATGTGGTTCAATAAAAAATAAATACTACATCATGGCTGTGATGCTAAAAGTCTTTGTTAAACCACTTCTTGCGCAAAGTTCATATGAAACACAAACATTTTAATCATCAAAACAGTGAAAATGTCAAATGTGTCGCATTAACGAGTTTCTTTTCACTGAACAAGCAACAAAACTGTACCAAAAAAATACTCTTGGCGATATATCGATATTTCTGCACACCCCTAGTGAGGAATCTAACCGCTGAGAAGCACTACCCCCTCTTCAACACACAATAGTAAATCCTAGCGCCCTCTGCTGGACACATTTGCACATGCACAGAAATAATAACGCTATTTTACTTAAAAGTACACATCTCCTATTTCCATATTATTACACCCTGTTCATAAATAACCTTTAATTGCCATGTCGATAAGTGAAATATTTGTTTAACAGTCGATAGGAAATAACCAATTTTTGCTTATACTGACGTCTAAAATCTATAATAAAGCCCACAGACTGACGTTACGTAAAATTCATGTTATCATTTTTAAATAATTGCAAAAAAAGCTATGATTTAAGTTGAATTTTTGTAAAGATCGTGGAAACATAGAGCCACATCTTTAATTACAGCGTTTTTCTACAGTTTAGTTCCTTATCTGTGGAGGAAATTATCTTAAAGGTGCACTGTGTAACTTTTTGGTTGGGCGGCCATCACCTGCTCTGCCTGGAATGTCCCACAGTATGGCATTAAACAGATCTACCTTACATTTGTTCACTTACAGGTGGTTTTATAGCTCAAAAATACATACAAAAACAGGCATTCTGACCTGTAACGTGGTCTGGTTGGGTCTCCGTGAAGATAGAAAGGTTTAAACGTTCCAGAAAAAGCAATAACAAAAGCATTTGACGGACCCTCCACCAGAAAAGTTTCACAATGCACCTTTAACTTTTGACATCTTACACTGTACAATCACGAAACACCAAAATGACCATTGTGTACAGAACCTAGATGCAAAAACATGTCCAAAATTGGGATGTGAAACCAAATCGATACAAGGAACCAAGTCATAAACGCTACCATCTTTGTAAGGAACCTTATTCTCATCGGACTTTACTGTAGAGTCAATAACTTACGGCCTAAAAATAGGAAATGTAATGTTTAGAGATGTAACAATAACCAAATATCGTGATATCGCATCGTCAAAGTTCTCACAATAACATCGTGGGCCATCACAACATATCGAATTACAAGTCTGTTTGCTGAAATTAAGAGTTATGGTGCAGCAATAGATTAAAAAAAACACAGGGAACTACATAGACCATGATCCTTTGCTCCATTTCAGTGAAGACTACAAGAAGAAATAACACTTCTAAGCGCTTTTCAGTCTTAGTTCTTTGGATTAAGTCTTGTCAAGGCACAAAATATCTCAATAAATATCGTAACGTGAGATGTGCATCGTGAAAATATCGTACCGAAAGATTTGGATATTGTTTCATCCATAATCGTGAGCTTTCCTACAATATCGTTCCGTGAGGTTCATACCGTGACGATATCGTATCGTGAGACTTGGATATCGTTGTATAATGTTGTTTCGTCATCATAAACATACCTGGAGTTGTGTTTTAGGCTGCGATAATTTCACCCCTGGAATCGCCAATCTCTACTAAATATAAAGTAAAATGGTTGCCAACTTGAAAACTACCGCCACTTCATGACATCGTGAGGTGGACCAGAGCATTTTTGAGATTAAAGTGTCACTCAAACACGTGTGAACGAAACAAAACACAACACCGGGTCTGTTCATGATGAGGTAACAACATTATATCATGACTTAAAGCTCACCACAGTCAATTTTGCGTAATATAGAACCTTTGAGTGGAAAATTTTGTTGCCACACCTTCTAAATTACATTTTTATTGACCAGTGACTGTTTCTTTGTCTGATTTTCTAACTTTCTTACGGTCGTATCAACAATTTTGTGAAGCGAACACTGTTGGGATTTTGGCACCTACAAAAATACATTGAAATAAACGAATACAAACTGTATGCATCATCTTAGTCGACTATTTTGGACCAAAAAACAAAACAAAATCGTGACCAAACAAGCACCATAACATCAAAACAAGTCAGTACATTTCATCTAGGCTAATGTATTGCATGTTACGTTCCGCCATTTTCATTCATTTATAAGTTTAACATCATACTTATGTTTAAACTTATAAAAAAATGTTTGTTTTTTGGTTGAAATCTCTCATATAGGCGACATTGAAAACACAAACATACCCAGTCATTTAGCTACGCTGGAACAATAGCCTATAATTTGCATCACTGTTACGTTTTACGATGTCTTATTTCTTGTGCATTTTCGTATCAAAACGCGTGCACTCCACCAACAAAAGAAATCCTCCAGCCAAACATCTTAGCCAATATTTAACGGGATGAAATGTGAAGATTAAAGTCAGAAAACCAGAACCGTATCTCGCAGACTACGCGTAAAAAAAAAAAAAAAAAAAAAAAAAAAAACAATTTGGCGTGCGAGAAAGAGACGGGCTACACTGGCTGGCAACGTGCGTCGTCTCGAGCATCATCGCTCCTCCGCCCAACGATTCCCCTATTTCTCACACGAGCGCGATATAACGGAGCCCTGGAAACGAGCCACGCTTAGGAGCCATACGGTACGGCAGCTTTTACGCACGGCATTTGGGGTAACGCCGAAGTACGCGCTGTTCTTTGGTTTATAAAAACTTGCTCGTGCGGCGTTGAAAGATGCCAAATGGACGCTTGGTTTAACGCAGAGGTGGTTTAACGAGCGGCTGGTGCGCGCTGAAGGAGGAAGAGACAGGTAGTGATGTCCCTAGCGCACAAAAGGCGCAAAGAAAGATAATTGAGTAAAATTACCAAAAAAATAAAATTAAAAAAATGAGTAAAAACAAATAAATCATTAAAAAAAAACCTGACTTTGTACAATATAACTTCGTGTATTATAAGAAACGTGTAAGCAATAAAAATTAAACGCATCAAACTATTATCCGGACTTATCCCAAAACGTGCGTACAAAAAAAAAAAAAAAAAAAGCGTGCGTCTTACCTGAGTTGATGCGATGTCTGTTGATTTTGTCCTTTTATCGTCCTTACAAAGTGAAGTCCCTTGTTTGTAAATTTTTCATCGATTCTTCGTGCTCGTGTCCGTACCGTGTCCGCGCGACAGACTGCGAGATCCGCACGCGTCGCTCGCCTATTATAAGCTCGGCTCGCTCTGACCTTTGTATCGAGACGGGGGCTTTGAGGAGAGGCATCAGCGGCAGTGGAAAATCACCGGGCTGCCTCTCCGCTCCGCGCCGCTCTGCCCGGGCCCCCCCCACCCCTCCCCTCGCGCTTCTCTCCTCTCCTCCTCTCTCCTCTCCTCCCTCAAAGCAACAGGAGAGCGGCGTGCAGAGGAGGAGGCGTTCACGGACCGAGCAGACGATGGGAAATGTGTAGCGGTAGTGCCGAGTGTGTTGCAATAAAGGAGTAAGGGGTTCCGCGTTGTCTGGAATGAGAAAAGATAAAGAATAACATTTAAAAAAGCAGGTGTTGTAGGCGGTCTAAATGTGAGAACTGAGAGACAAACTGTGCGTTTAATATATACTAGATTAAAGATCCACCATGTAACTTTTCTAGTGGAAGGTGATTTAGTAGCTTTTGCAAAACGTTTACCAAATTATAACAGACAATGTAACTTAAGTACAGTAGTAACTTTCGAGTGTACTGAGACAAAACAATAGCATGATTCATCAGACGGTTTCACTTTGTGGAAACTGTCTGACCTCGCAGCGTTAGGATTCGTTCGCTCAACAGTAGGCGGGTACTTTTTAATTTAACCAATCGCTGCTGTTATGACGTGATGTATGTAAAGCACCAAATTCAGTAAGAAGAAGGGGAATAATGTCTTTCACCTGGATAAAATTCACCAAACATTCTTGTTTTTAAATCCTTGATCTCGGGAATCGTTGCCAACACAGAATGTCTGTCTTCGTCTACATCCATCTCGACCGCTTTGTTTACTGTTGTGCTGTTCCACAAAAGGGACCCAGACAGGTGCGACGAGTTTGACGTCATGGCTTCACAGCTCTTCACTGATTGGCCGGTGCTTGGTCTACAACTTCCAGGGTTCTTGCAAACCGTCTAGTGTATTCTGATTCCTGACCTAGTCGCTGGAGAGAAATGAAACTGAGCGGAGGCACTAGGCTAATAAACTGTGCTTTTCATATAGACTATATTAAAGACTTACCATGTAACTCAGGGTCAAAAAATTAAGGTCCACAGGCCAACTCCGGTCCACCACGTCCCTTTGACTGACCCTCAGCACCTCTGCCCCCACCACTTGAACTGGTCCCAGGAGGCAATCCTTAAAAGTTGTCATGGCCTATATTTTTATTACTTTTTGGCAAATAACACTGCATCTTGTATTTTGTAGATTTTTTTTTTTCAATTTAAAAACAATATTTATATGAAGTATTTAAATAATTATATGACATATTTACATTTGCCGGCAGATGTTCGTCACCTGACAAGCTCAAGATCAAACAGTGACAGTCAACGCACACACAGGTTCTCAAGTGCAATTAAGGACAGAAAAATGCCTTGTGTTAAAGTATAAAAACTTGACAGAGTGACGAGTTTTTGAAGAACAGTGGATGACCGATTATTTTTGTGTTCAGTGTAAGGACCATGCAGTTTGTCTGATATGTAAAGAAAGTGTGGGGGTTTTTCAAAGAATATAATCTGCGTCATCAGGGTCAAACAATTCTGTTATACAGCCGACCCGACCCCGGCCCCCATCACAGTCAGGAGCGATAATGTGGCCCCCAGAGAAAAATGTTTGGTGATCCCTTGTGTAACTTTTCCAGTGGAAGGTTATAAGCCGTAGCAAAATGTTAACCAAATAATAAAGGATAATATAGTTTAGGTACAGTAGTAACTTTAGACTGTATTGAGGCAAACTGTACTTTTCATATTGACTATATTGAAGATCGACCATGTAACTTTTCTAGTGGAAGGTTATAAGGGTGACCACGGTCATGAAAATCCTGGATAGTAGATGGAATTTTGTAAATTCAATGAAAGTTTTGGAAAAGTCATGGAATTTTAGTATTTCTTTCACGTAATTACAGCATAATTACAAAGTTATCATTAGAAAGTAAGCAACTTTTGTTTAAAATAGACAATAAATGCACTGACAGTGTTTTGAATGTTAAAAAACTATAAAACCAAACCATAAGGTGAGAGGAAAGGGTTAACATTTCATATTTAGCCCTAAAAGTCTGATCAATTTCTACACATGTAGGTGCTGTACAGTCATGGAATGTTCACATTAGGACATGAAAAAGTCATGGAAAAGTTTTGAAATTTTGTCAGTGAAAGAGTGGGAATCCTGTTATAAGTTTTAGCAAAACTTTAACCAAATTATAACAGAGAATGTAGCTTAGGTACACTAGTAACTTTAATCATTTTTAAAGTCATTTAAAGATGAACAGTGGTCCCTCGTTTATCGCGGGGGTTTCGTTCTAAAAATAAACCGCAATAGGTGAAATCTGCGAAGTAGACAACTTTATATTTTACAATGATTATATCTGTTTTAAGACTGTAAAACCCCTCAGCACACACTTTATACACTTTTCTCACACAGGACACTTACAACTTTTTTTGCAGCCTTCTTAAAATCCTTATGTTATTTTCCTCCTTGCACTGCCTACGCCACGGACTGAATAAGGACTAAACCAGGACTAACCCAGGACTAACCTAGGACTGATTCCAGGACTGAAGAGGAGGACTAAACCAGGACTGAACTAGGACTAAACCAGGACTAAACCAGGACTGAACTAGGACGAAAACAGGACTAGGACTAAACAGAATTTAACCAGGACTTAACCAGGACTAAACCAGGACTAAACCAGAACTGAAACAGGACTCACGATCAGGACGGGCTTGGAGGTGACCGCAGGAGAAAGGACCGACGGAGAGCTCCGCACCTCACGGAGGTAAACGTGACAATTGCGGTTCTCTCTCTTAAGTCTAAGATTAGTACTGGTTTAGTCCTGGTTTAGTCCTGACCCACCCGTGTGTAATCACTAGCCGCCCGTAATACACAATACGTGTTCATACGCTGTTAAAAAGCACGCAAAACTGCAGTAAAAAAGATTCACGAAACAGCGAGACCGCGAAAGGTGAACCACGAAATAGCGAGGGACCAAAATCTTTGTTCTTTGGATTAAGTCTTATCAAGGCATTTTAAGAAAAAAAAGAAGCATATTCACAGTTTTGTTTAGCCTCCACAAAATATCGCAATAAATATCGTACCGTGAGATGTATATCGTGAAAATATCGAACCGAGAGATTTGGATATTGGTAGATCCCTAGTAACTGAAGTGAATTGGAAAGACAAAGCAATAAAAAAATACACAAACACAAATGTTCAAATGATTTTATATTGTTAACATAAACTTTTGTCACTTGTACTGTAGATTTACTCGTTGTGGAAAGAGTAACCAAAACTTTTATTGAAGTAAGAGTACTGTTACACTGTCAAATAAATCACTCAAGTTGAAGTATAGTGTACAAAAACTACTGTGACAAATGAGCTACAGTACGTTCAAAAAGCACTGAAGTAAATATAACAAAGAGCTTCCACCTTTGGTAACTGGTCTGATTGTCCATGAGAGTCATAAAATAATAAAGCGTTATAACTGTGAACATTAACTTCTTTATTGTAGGTCAGGTCAAGATCTGTTTCCATTAAAACCGTACAAACATCCAACCATTGTACAATATCGAGAGAAATGTGATCCAGTTGTTTAAATGGCCAATAATACGCTGTTTTATGATCTATGTTATAATGGTTTCTCATAAAAAACACAGCTGGAGTTTTATTGTTTATTCACACGGGCTTTTTAGAGACGTATAATAATGGACAAAAAATTAAAGGTTTACTTAAACACGTGTGACTAAAACAAAACACAACTCCCGGTCTGTTTTTGTTGATGTAAAAACACCAGAACATGGCCAAAAGAGTGAATTTAGCGTGATGTAATGCTTTTAAAGAACACATATTGACTCTTGTAGATTTTAATGGTTCACCATGTAACTTTTCTGGTGATTCACTTCCTGCCGTTTCTTCGGTAATAATAATTAATGTTTGATACTTGGAAGGGAAACCGCACGTTTTGAGTAATAAAGACAACTGGTGAACAAACGTGAGATGGTTTAATGCCATACTGTGTAACATACCAGGTAAAGCAATAGCATCTCCATGGAAACGAGCAGGTGGCAGATCTTCCACAAGATAAATTTAAAAAAATAGACCTTCTGATACGTGCAGAGTCACAATATTCAGTCAAATGATTATAGGTCCCTACGTTTTTCTAGTTGACAAAAATTTTTGTCTTGATTAGTTCATTTAAAGGTGCATTATGTAACTTTTTAGTGGAGGATTGCCACCTACCATATTTTTCAGACTAGAAGTTGCTCTGGAGTATAAAAAGATGTGTAATGAAGAAGAAAAAAAAACATATATAAGTCCCACTAAAGTATAAGTTGCACTTTTTGGGATAAATTTATTCTGCAAAATCAGAGACCAGGAACCGACATTTTATCTTGAAAGTCAAGTTCTAGTAACAACAATAGAACAGAGAATAACAGACTGTTAACGTCACATATGAACAGTTCTTCAGATAACTATAACATAAACAACAGAACAGAACAAGTTTACCAAACTCTCCATCTCACTCCAAATCACTAAATCCATTCAATTCTTCATTCTTGGTGTCACTTCTGAACAACTCTGCGACCTCCGGAGGTAAACAGAGCTTCTGTGTAGCTGTCGTCAGACTAAGCATCAGTTCCAGTTAGAATTATTTCGGCCTTTCTGAATCCCGGCAGGATGGTTTTGGTGTCCAGGCTTTGTCGATCCATCCAGTGACTTCAGGAAAGTTGCATGGTGCATCCTCCCAGTTGCAGAGAAGCTCTGTTCTCCATCCTTGCTTTCCCCGAGTCCCTCACAAGTTTCTTGCTCACTCCACACTTTCTTTCTGCTGCTCGATTACCATTTTCAGCTGCATATTTCTCTACTTGCAGCAGGAAAGAGGCTCTTTCTGCAGGAGACATGCACAGTAGAGTGAAGTGACAGTAGTACAGGAGTAATAGGAGCAGCAGATTCTGACACAAAAGCCAAGAGCCTCTCTTATACCGGAGTATAAGTCGCAGGAAACACCCAAACCATGAAAAAAAGTGTGACTTATAGTCTGAAAAATACGGTACTTGTGTCCATGGAGATTTTGCTTTGCATATTCCACTATATGACATTTACC